CACTGTCGCCTGCACTCCCGCCAGGAGGAGCTGGCTGCGGTGGAGAACCCTACGCTCAGCAACGGAGGCCGGGACCTTAGGCGGTGAGTGCGGCGCGCGCCGGGTTCCGAGCGGTTCCGAGCGGTTCCGAGGCTCCCGGCTGAGCGGGCTTGTGTCTAGGGTCTCGGGTGACGACCCCGGAGGGGTGTCTTTGATGCCGGCATCGGGAGGCAGGGACGGGCTTCCAAGCAGCGGGTGTGAACCCCACCACCAAGCTCTTTTCCTTATCTATGCGCTCCCCAGTTTCCACCTCTCCTTGTACCCCTCCCCGCGCCGGGGTCCCCGCCCTCCGACCTGTGTCCCCTTTCACAACCCCGCACCCTAGAAGCCTGTCTGCACACTCCCTTTCTCCCTCAAGCCCTCCCACGCCTACCTCCTCCTGGGTGCCAGCTGCCTGCCTCTCTCCCTTCCAGCTTTGCTCCTACCGTACCCGCCGCCACCCTTGCGGGCTCCCATTCTGCCCGCGTGCTCGTACCGCGCGATTGCAGCCGGAATCGGAGCTCTGGGATCCCCTTCTCCCAGCTGTCCCGAACCTGCGGTGTCCAGGTAAAGGCGACTGCAACTTCGCGGCCTGCCCCGGGGGTGAGGCTGGTTCTTCTCTAGCTACCTGCCGCCTCCGGCGCCGGAATCCTGGGCCCAGCCGAGGGCCACTCCGCGCGTGTAGGTTAAGCTTGCTTAATGCTCTACTCAGGACTGTGTGGTTACTTCTTTGCTTGCTTTTGCTTGGTGAACTTGGATACGTTGCTATTTCTAAAAGGAAGCCGGCTTTGTCACACACAAATATGGAGCAGGTTTTCTTGGCTGCTGCGTCTGGCTTTCAGTTGTACCTGTGGATGAGAAAGGATTAGCGATGCAGAGGGAAAAGAGCCACATCCCAACTCCCACCCACCTCGGAAGCACAGGGGAATATGACTGGCCTCTCCTGGCCAGTGTCTTTGTGGAAAGGCAAGGATGCTTTCTAAACATTCAACAAGTAAAACCAGTTAAGACTTTGGAATCAGATCTGGTGTGGATAGGGACGGGGATGGGGGGAGGCGGTGAATGACCAAGAACGACCACCCTGGAAAAGTTCCACCACTTAGGGGCATTTGTTGCTCTTTGCAGCAGGCCTCAGCGTGAACCCCAACTGTGGAGTAGACAGTGCTGAGCCCAGCCTACCCTCTAGAACTGTCGGTCGGGCTTGGCAGCAGCCCCCTCCTCAGAGGTATTGGTGCCCTGTCGGGAACACTTGTGGGAAGAGGATTTAAAGCAGATGGCTTGGAAAGCCGCCTGGTCCCTGGAGAGAGGTGGAGATGGCATGGTGGCAGCCTGAAAGCCAGTGTGTGCATTCACTCATTCCCTTCTGGGGTCTTTCATTAAATCTTGGATTAAATTAATTGCCTATTCAGAAAAAGAACAAGTAAAGGATATTTCTCTTTTAGGATTGGCTCTTGGCCAGTCCACCCTCACAGATACCTTGGAAGGCTTAAATGAGCACCAGAGGCAGGGCAGACCACCTGGGGCCGAGCACTCTGAACTGTGACCTGCCCTAGATGTAGCTCTGTTTGTTCTTTGATGGCTCCATTATTAGTTCTCAATATTCTTCTGCCATTGAATAGATAACTGGCCAAAGACACAGCGGGGCTCAGTAGGGCCCTTCTGAATGTTCACAGCTTCTCCTTGTCCTTACAGTGACAGGTTGTTGTCAGGATGTCAGGAGTTCCTCTGACCAGGAATACCTGCAGGATTGGGGTGCACATATCTTTGTAACCTTAGGACCTGGCCAGATGGCTCCTGCCTGGTACTCAGTATTTTTTGTTTTGTTTTGTTTTTTTAAAAAGAGCCCAGGTGCATGCCTTTCTTTAAGCCCAGCACTCGGGAGACAGAGGCAGGTGGATCTCTGTGAGTTCAAGGTCAGCCTGGTCTACAGAGTGAGTTTCGAGACAGCCAGGGCTACACAGAGAAACCTTGTCTCAAAAAAAAAAAATCCTTTCTTGCACCAGTCTTGAGTCTACAACCCTTGCTCTCCACTGCGCTGCATTGCTTTCAGAAGTCTCTCAACTCCACAGGTTTGAATGTGTGTGTATGTAAACAATAGTCTTTCTTGCTAGGCACAGATTCACCATGTATTGGTGGGACCAGAGGTGTGAGGGGACAGAGAAGGAATAGAAAGTCCAGTCTCTAGGTTAGGTCTGACAGCTGGTCCCACCTCTCAGTGAAGACTGGTGATTTAAGAAAGGAAATGATTGTACCCCAGAGGTGGGGGGGGGGGCAATGGGCACTCTGGGGATACCCGGAGGCTGCCTACTGAGAAGTAAGTATACCAGACTTATCCTGCAGGCCCTGGGCTGTGAGCCTGGCTTCATATGTTATTCTTATTTGTTTGTTGATTGATTGATTCTACATGGTCTGAAACTCTGTGTAGACTAGACTGGCCTCTAACTCATACAGATCCACCTGCCTCTGTGTTCCAAGTGCTGGGATTAAAGACCTGCGTCATCATGCCTGGTGGGCCTGGCTTCGTGGACATACCCTACTCCTGCCTGCTGATGGAGGAAGCCGCTAGGGAGCTAGGGTCCCTTGCCGAGCTCCCCCAGCCTCTTCAGGTTGTGCTGTTCTCGCTCTAGTGGGTGCTACCCACTCCAGAACTGGTTCCCGTGGCAGCCTAGGAGTGTCCCTTTGTGCACATTGCTGCCTGTGTGTTTTATGGCTCTCCTGGGGGGAGAGGCACCAGTGCTGAGGGATGGTCTGTAAGGGGTGGCTTTGCCCTAAGCAGAGAAAGCAAAGTTCAGCACTTCCGTCTGCGTTAAAGGCTGTTTTGAGGAAGAGCACACCTAGGACCCAGAATGCAGGGCCTCTCTCTACTCTGCTCGGGAAGCTGGGGACAGCAGGAATTCGGAGTGCTGCTTGGTCACAGGAACTTATTCTTCCCTGGTTGTCATTAGCTTATCTTTCTCACCCAGACTGCCTCTGTCTTCAGGTTTGGCTCTTACCCAGAATTCCTGCAGCTGGTAGGAATCTGTTCTCTAGAAGAGGTTTAGTGAGTGAGGACGGGAGAGGGAGAGAGACGCCGCTCTATGGAAGGGACAGGGGAGACGGCAGGAGAAGAGCGGAGTCCTGGCAGTTCAGGAAAGGGATGTCCCAGACAGTACTCTGGTTGGTAGGTAAGAGGTGTGCCTGCTTTCAGCTGTAGTTGTTACCGTTACAAGCAAAGTCACTGAGACAGCAACAAGATGAGCCATTGATCTGAAGAAAGGTGTGTTGGGCTTACTCTTCCGCTTCTTAGAAGACCCGGGAAGCCATCTAAGAGATGGCCATGACCAGATGGGAAGACAGTTGGCTGTTGTAAACTTTGTGTCAGGAGGGTGCCCCTGGGGATGTGGTCCACTGAGCCAGGTTGGTCTGGGGTCTGGCCTGGGGGAGGCACCTCACTCCAGAGATGCTGTGGGAATTGTCTAGAAGTGCAGCTGCGAACCTGTGTTCAGTGAGCGAAGGAAAGAATGGTCTTCTCGTAGGAGAGGGAGGCAGACTCCCAGACACCCATCTTGGACCTGCTAGGAGCCTTGGACCTGACTAGCACACAGGACCCAGGTGCCAGCCAGCCTGGAACTACCACAAGTCAGCCTTCAGAGGGCACCTGTGCACCCAGGATGCACTGCAGGGTCTGCTGGGGTCCAGAAGACAAGAGAGCCCCTCTCCCCAAGCCAGAATCTCTCCAGTGTCTCTTCATCCTTAGAGTCTGCATTTGTCTCTAACCCGTCTCAGGTAGGGAAGCCACTGACTCTGATTCTTATGAAGGGAGGGACAAGCCCAGGAGTATGGAAGGATTTAACATTAAAGATCATGCACGAGCGCGCGCACACGCGCGCGCGCGCACACACACACACACACACACCCTCCCTCATACCCGCAGGCTTGGATGAGCCTAGTGGAGCAGTTCCAGCCGCAAAGGGGCAGTCTCTGCTGCTGTCTTTCAGCTAGGACGTCCTCCCCAGCATTTCACCCATGGGTGGGTCCCTCCATCTCTTTCCCCATTGGATTTCGGTGGCCCCTGTACAGTTGGGAGCTCTGAGTTGGAGGAGAGTTTGGGGAACTCAGATATCTAATAATAGGTGGGAACTGGGAGTACTCCTAAAGTGGAACAAGACAATCTTCAGTTCCTGGGGTGAATCCTTCCCCCCCCAATCCCCGCTTCTGGACTTTTTTAGGACTTGGAATAGTGTCCTGTCGTCTCTTCGGCACCCTCCCGTTAGTAGGGAACCACAGGAACTTACAAATTCATTTAATACTTTAATACTCACTTCTCCAGCACACACACATTTCTGGTTGTAAGGCATCTTTTTGCCTTCTCCCTGTCCCCTTCTGTGTAATTATGTATGAACACCTTCCTTAGGGAGAGCCGAGGCCAGTAGCATGGAAACCAGACCTTCAAAGCACAGATCAAGGTCAGAATTACTATGCTTGGTTTTGACCTCCCTTCCCCACTTCCCTCCCCTTCACTTTTGCTTGTGGGGAAAGCCATCATTTATACTAAATTTATACAAACCTCCCTTTGATTTTTAGAGACCTCCCTTTCCAACTAACAAGCAGCAGCTTGCCTCCCTAAGGTGGTCTCATTCTTGGATCCAATACTGACCTGTAGAGATAAAATGATATTATTTTGAGCATTTTAACTAGAAAATAAAATATCTTGCTAATTTTATTATTTGCAAATGCAGAAGAGTCTGAAGATGGAATAAAGTACTGTTAAGTCTTTGCTTATAAAAATCAGCAGCACAAAAGTCGTTAAAGTTGCAGCAGAATTGTTTAAAAGGTTAGAAGTAAACCTGTATGTTTTTAAATGTTACTACTAAAATGTAGAGAGATTTAAATTTGAACTGCCTTAAAAATATAGGCCAAAAAAAAATAGTACCATACAAACACTGGAACCCTCCATAAATTCTGCTCTGTGTTGAAATGCGGTGTGATAATTAGTTTTGATTGCCAAGTTGACAGGATCCAGAAGTGCCTAAAACACAAGCGTCCGGGCAGGCCAGTGTGGGGTTATTGAGATGGTCTTAATTGAGCTGGGAAGACCCACTTTAACTGTGTGCAGTACGGCTATATAGGCTGGGGCCCTGGATTGAATGAATGGCGGAGAGCAAGGTGAACACTAATGTTCGCACACTCTGCTTCTGACACCACAGATGGACGGCATCCCTTGGCCCAATAAACCCAAATGAACCCTCCCTCCCTTAAACTGCTTCTTGTGAAGGACTTGGTCATAGCAAGGGAAGTAATAAATGGAGGAGAAATGGGACTTCAGGGAGTTCAAAGGCTTCCTTCCCTTAGAACTGAGTGTGGTGGCAAACACATGCATGCTCTTGCGCACGTGTGCGCGCGCGCATGCACGCGCGCACGCACGCACACGTCTTCCCTTAGAAGCCAGCTCTCTCTAGCAGAGAATACTTTATTGATTTGAATAATCTTGCTACAGTTGCTGGATCATCAGCTGTGACTCCACAGCCATTTGGAGTTTGCAGGTGGCCTCTTAGGTCAGGTATAAGTGGGTTTTGGCTTTCCTTAGACCATTGCGCAAGTCAAACAAAGCAGCCTATGTACTGTGGACTTTCTGGGAAGATTTCCCTCATTCGTGGCTGTCAGATTCTCTGCGGATGACTGCCTTCCCCTTGAGGACCTGGGTTCGGTTGTGGAATTCAGCAGAGTGCAGTAGGTAGGAGTGGAGGCTCTGGGAATCCTGGGTGTGTCCTCACTAACCTTGTATCCTTGGATAAGTTACTTAACTTCTGTGCCTCGGTTTCCCTATTCATAAAATTGAGATGACGAGAATGCCTACTTTGTTGTATTATGGAGCTCTACTATGTGTGGCAAGGGTTTAGAGCTGTGTCCAGTACATGGTTCTTAACGAGTATTAACTGCTGCTGTGTTCACTCGCTGGTTTGGGTGCCAGCTGACTATGTTCAGATGATGGATAGAGAAATAGCCTTTAAAATATTTAGGTGGGTGCTGGGGATTGAACTCCGGCCTCATGCATGCTAGGTAAGCATTCTTGCACTGAACTATACCCCTCACCCAAGAGGATAGATATAGGATAATGGACAAAATGTGTCTGTCCTAATGGAACAAAGGGTTCTAAGGCTGTGTTCACAACTGAGACCTGGCGTGGCAGTGAAGAACTGTCTCAGACTCTCACCTGGCTCCCGGCCACCTGTCATGGCTATGAGCGGCTGAGGGGTTAGAATAGAAAAGGGAGAGGCTGGTGATCTTTAGCTGGTACACAGCTGCCAGCTGTTTAAATAAACTAGAAACTCATTTGGATTGCTCGGTGTCTGACTCGGGCTTGTGGTTAATATTTTAACTCATTCTTGGATGCATGTCATTAGTGAGAAGTGAGATAAGAGGCCATAAGCCCAGTATTTGCTCGCCAGCTGGTATTTCCAGCATTATTCCTGCTCCCAGCTGCAGGATGCTATCCCCATTCCTGTTTCAGATGGCCTCTTCAACTACCCCAGGAGCCGCCACACCATTGGAGACCCACTTCTCACTCAGAGCGAGTGGCTGCTCTGGAGACAGGTAGCAGACTAGGCAGAGACAGGGAGGCAGGCCACTGGCTCTCATATCTGCCATAGCCAGTCTTCTTACCTGAGAAATTGTTGAGAGGTTTGAGTTTACTAACTGGTCCATCCTGCTCAGGCTGCAGCTGGTGTGTCTACCCTGTGCCTTGGGAGAGCTGACACGGGCCTACGGTTGTGGGCAGTGCCCTGGGATTCCTCTGGGATGCCCTTTAGGAATCTCTGCTTCCTAGATTGCTCTGAGTGTGGATAGCACACCTTCTGTGCAGGGAAACTGGCAACCCTTTCTCTTGTTGAGCAGCCTGTTCGTTTCTGTTCACTTTTTAAATTTTTATGTGCATTGGTTTTTGCCTGCATGTCCATCTGTGTGAGGGTGTCAGATCTTGAAGTTACAGTTGTAAGTTCCCATGTGGGTGCTGGGAATTGAACCCAGATCCTCTGGAAGAGCAGTCAATGTTCTTAAGTGCTGAGCCATCTCTCCAGCCCCTCTGTTCATTTTTAAACTTGGAATGAATGAGGTTTTGTGGGTTTTTTTTTTAAAAAAAAAAAAACAGAAAAAGAAAAAAAATCTTTCCTCATACTTGGACAGCAGAAATGGCAAATGATTTCATTCATGTCCAAAGAATTGAGTTAAAAGGGGGCACCTCTCTGCCTTGGAGCTCTGACTTCTCTGCTTTTCCTCCTGATCCCCCAGCCCGGTCCTCTTGCCGCCATTCTGTCTGTCTCTCTCCCAGTTCTTAATGGAAACTCAGACCTGAAAGAAAATCAAAGCTTGGACATTAATGATCTAAGGTCATGGCCTAGATGGTTCATTTTTTTGGCTTTGTCTTCAAGCTGAAAAATTACTGACTTCTAGAGAAAGTATATTTTAGAAGCTGACTAACGCAGCAGGCAGAAGGGGGCTGGCTTCCCCGCTGTCTCCGGCGTTTCTGAGTTCACGGCATTTGCGTTTTGATTTTCTCCCCTTGTGCAGTCTTGATCTAATGACCGTTGATTATCCCAGAGCAGCTGCATTAATTGACGGTATTTAACGACTCTGCTTCCAGTGGGTAATTGCCGTCGGCTCAGCTAAGGATAGCACGGTCTTTTTTTCTTTCTCTCAGCTTGGGAAGTCTTAAGTTGGGTGCCCGATGCCATAGACTTCTGCATGAATTGGCAAAGACTTTCAGTATCTTAACTCTGTTTTAGCTTCCGTCTTGCTACTCGGGGCCCTAAAGAAATGTTTCTAGTCCTACCCTGGATCCGTCTTCCTCATGGACCCTCAACTCCAGTTGCCTGTGAGGAGTTGAGCCCTCCTCCCCCGGTCCTGGTCCACTTCCCGGTGCGTACAAGCCCCCAGGACACTGTGTGCACTCTCAGTATCTGTCACTCATATACATGTACTGACTGCTCAGGGGCCCGCCTCCCCAGGGTGTCTGGGGAGCGGCTCTCACCCAGCACATCTCAGAGGCTTCCACTCCTCAGGCTGGCATGAATCAGGGCTCAATACAAACTGAGGGAATAGGTGTGAGTGGTGTATTCACCGCCACCGCCTGGCTTAAGAATATACTTTTTGCACACACGAGTCCAACGCTGGCTGTTCCTATGGTGAGGTAACTCTCCGCGAAGAGGTGGCTTACTGACACGTGTTCTGTAGGCAGCCATACTCATTTGCACCAGTCAGCGGCAAGGAAGGCCGGTAAGGGTTTTCCGTTGCATACGTAGGAGAAGGAAATGGTTTATGGTTAGCCACAGTCTCTGCTATTCTGGTTTCTCCAAAGTCGGAACCCTGATAGCAAGGAAGAAGGATTGGATATTGAGGGGCAGTGTGTGTGTGTGTGTGTGTGTGTGTGTGTGTGTGTGATCTTTCCACGGAAGGAAAGGTGCCAGGAAGGCTTCAGCTGAAAGTGGTGTCTGTCTTAGGAGATGTCTGGTTTCAATCACCGCTTCTTTGTCGCCATTGAGAATTGCCAGGTGACTCAGTAGGTGGATGGAGGGTCCTTGTTACCCCTGTTCCTTGGCCCATGCCATGTTCTCAGCCTGGTGGAATAGCTCCTGGTTGGTTGATCTCAGTAGCTCGAGGAATGACCTTAAGTTCCCCCAAACTAGAGGAGCCTGGGAAAGCTCCTTGCCCTTGAACCCACTCGACATTCCAAAGTTACCTGCCTCTACAGCCCACCCGTCGCCCCCACCTGGACACAGCAAAGAGTGACCGTCGATTCCCACTCCTGTTTACTGAGAAATGGTCTCCCACTATTGCCTGCTCGTGTTTGTCAGGAAGCAAACCCTTGGTGAGAAGTTACTGATTTCTTGGGTTTTAGTGATTTCTTCAGTTAGTTGTAGGTCACTGTGACAGGTGCTTTTCTGGCCACGGTTCCCTGCCTGGTGCCCTCCCATCTCCCTTTTTCCCCCCACATGTGCTGAGTACTGCAGTTTAGCTCTGAGACCCTCCTCCCCAACCCTGAAGTAGGCCATGGAGGAATCTGACATGAGCCCTTAACATTGATGGTCATCGTAGGAGGGTTGATTCTGGGCACTGAGGTTGTCCAGTATTGAAGAACGTCACCCAGCCTTGGACTCAGGGAAGCCGTCTGAGGAAGGTGACGTCTGGGTTGAGTTTAAGTTACAAAAACGGCTACCTGGGATTCTTGTAGTCCAGTGTGCCAAAGTGGGGGTGGGGCAGCAGGGCCCTCCACTACCTGGGCATTGTTGGGCCCTGAGGTGGTGGGAGCCAGTGCGTAAGGCAGGTGAGGGTCCAGCCCTGGTGGCACACAGGACCTGGCGGTGACATGGTGGGGCTGGAGTGTTCAGGTCAGAGTTGCAGCAGGACTAGGCTGCCATTCTGAACTGGGCTCTGAGGATATGGGCCTCATCGCTTGCGCTGTTACCTCCTGTGCCCTATCCTTCTGTCTCCGGTTCTCGGCTGGTCCTTTGCCCAGGCATTACTCAGGTTGTAAAAATAGAGTCTGGCACCAGAGTGCCAGTGAGACGTTGTGAGGAAAGCTGGGGTTGTCATCACCTGTCAGGACACTTAACCTGGGAGAGTTTGATGCAGGGCTTTTGTAGAGCTCGGGGCGTGAGGTTCTAACACTGGCTTACACGGTTTGCTTTAGCTTTGGATTGCTACCAGTTCTCCGTGCCCCTTACTCAGATGTGATCTGGTTGTGGTTAATGCCTACCCCAACCTCAGGCTCCCATCCACACACTGCCTCCAAAACCTCCCAAATGGGCTTCATCCTGCTGGCATGGTCCGAGAAGTCAAGGCTTCTCCGCAGGACCATCAGATGCCACCCTGCATTCTTTCAGGTGCTGGACCCTGGCCAGCCAAGCTGGTGTGTGGTCAGCCCAGCCTGAGGAGGTTTGACCCTCCACGTAGGCACATAGCTTTGCACTGCTTCTCCTTCGGGAGGTGAGGGCTGATCTGAGAGCTGTCAAGCGTCCTCATTGTGATGAATGGCCCCAAGGGCAGTTTCCTTCATTCTCCATCCCAGCCTTGTTTATTGCAGTGGACTGGATGGGGGCGGGGTAGAGAGTGCAACCTTCGCACAGTTGAATGAACAGCTCAGTCCCTTTGCCTCAAGGGAGGTTGCTGTGCCTCCACTGATGGAGTCTCTGGCCAGTGGTCCGTGTGCTTCAGAGAACATGATAACAAGGAAGAGGTAGTCACTGTCCTCGGGCGCATGGTAGCGGCGCCTGCCCTGCCCCAAGGGACACATAGTGCTCATTCTAGAGAACTGGAGCTCCACCAGGGCAGGCATTTGCGCTGATTTGGCTCACTAATCTCCATTTCTGCACCTTGAATCGGCACGGGACAAGTGCTCCGTCAGGAGGCATTGCATGGCTAAGTGAGATGCCCACCGTCGGGAGAGCCCACTGCAGCACAGAGAGACGCAGTTGGGAAGTGGAGGAAAAGTCTGGAGCTGTGGCTTGGTGACCGAAGCTCACTGTCCCTGTGTCTCGAACTACTGGAAGACAGAAGGCTCAGAAGACTGGAGAATGCCTTTTGTCTGCTAGTGTCTTCAAGTGTGTCCCTCAGCTGCTTCAGGGTGACTTCCCTGTAGGTTCCCTTCCTTCCTGTCAGGTGTGTGCTCAGAAGTGTCTTCTGGGCCCATTGTCCTGTCCTCTGTTCCCCGATGGGTCACTGCCTGAAGCTTGTCATCAGCGGCAAAGGGGTAAGCGTCACACCCCTTTGTACCACTGTGCCTGTCAGTGTCCCATGGAAGGCCCCCTGTCCTGCCCCACTGCTGAGTTTCACACAGTGCCTGTCTCTCTCAACAGTCCCACCCCACGGTGATCCCCATTCCCTGCTCCTTGTTCCCTGTAGCCCATAGCACTGTTTCCAGGCCACTGGTCTTTTCGTCATTTGTGGTGTACCTGTCTTTGAGATCTTGCTTGACTGCATTGTTTAAAAAATAGGCAAAACATTTAAGTAAATTTACAGCAATTCACCCTTGAGTTTTATTTTTTTTTATTTTTTTATTTTTTAAATATTTATTTATTTATCTATTTATTATGCATACAATATTCTGTCTGTGTGTATGTCTGCAGGCCAGAAGAGGGCACCAGACCTCATTACAGATGGTTGTGAGCCACCATGTGGTTGCCGGGAATTGAACTCAGGACCTTTGGAAGAGCAGGCAATGCTCTTAACCACTGAGCCATCTCTCCAGCCCCCACCCTTGAGTTTTAAATGATTATTGTTATTTTACTTTTTTTTTTTCTTTTTGGAAGGTAGGCATGTAACATATGCCTGTAATCCCAGCACTTGGGAGGCTAAGGCAGGTGGATTGCAAATTTGAAACCCAGTGAGAGAGAGGAAGAGAAACTGGACCAGGCAAGAGGAGAATGTTTTCTAAGATGGCTGCCATCTTCTCCAGGAGTCTGCAGCCAGGCTTCCATTCGCAATATGTCGTCAAAGAGAACTGAAATTACCTGTAGACGTTCTGGTGGAAGCGTCACCCCAGCCCCTGGCATCCATATATCCAAAGTCTGGAATGTTCTGGTGGAAGTTCCACCCCAAGTCCCTCCCCCCATTTCTCTCCAAACCCTGCCACATCTCAGAAAGGCTGCCAAATGATGACCCCTCTCAAGACCACTCCCACAGGGTATTTAAACTGCCCCTAGAAAACAGACGTGGTTTTCCAGTCTTCCTTTTCTGTCTCCTCTCTGGGGGGCTGGAAAATCATCCAGGAGAGTTTTATCCATTAAACCTGGGCTTTTTCTAGTTCAGTTTGTTGGTCTGATTTGGAGTGCTGTGTCGGCGGAGAGGCTTATCGGGGTGCAGAGACTTTTCAGTCATTACAGACATGACTACTCATAACATTCAGGACCTCTCTCAGCTCTTTCGAAGGGTTTTTATTTTTCAGATTGTTATGTTTAAAGTAGTGTTGGAGAAGAACAGTGACAGTGTGGCACAAAGGGACAAAAAGCAAAAGTAGCTCAACAAAAAGGGCGTGAGAGGACCAGACCCTGGCAGAAGCATGGCCAAGGACCTCTGAGCTGGCTTTATCTCTAACACAGGTGTGTTCCCAACTCACGGCGGGCGTTCACTGTCACAATCTGACATGACTGGCTAGTAAACATGAAGAGGAAGAGGGAAGTTAAAAAATATGGACCCTGGTCAGGCTAACCACCTCTAATAGAAAAGAAAAAAAAAACCACAACAACCAACTTTCATAATTCCCTCCTCTTTATCACACACACACACGCACACGCACGCACGCACGCACGCTCACGTTTTTCTTCAAGCTTAGCCAGCATGCGCTGACTTTGTGACTGGTAACAATAAATTACTGTTGTGATAAGTGAGGGCTCAGGTGTGCCCTGACGTTCCTGCCTGCCTAGGGGGTGCCCCTTTGCCTGGGCAACTGACCTGGTCCAACTGGAATGTTAGGTTTTCACCCTGGCCACAGAGTCTGCCCTTGTCACCAGAGTCTTCTCTCAGCGGGCCTTGCTGCTGTTTTCCTAGCCTCCCCTCTGAAGAGGTGACCCTGGCATTTCTTAGGGGACAGGTCAGAGATCAGGGCTCACAAAATACATTCGGCATCTCTGACCTATGACAAGGAGGAGGCTGCCAAGAGGCCCTAGGAATAGTTTTGGCTTTAAGCAACAGAGAAAATAGTTATATTTCTTTCGAGTCTTTACCATAAACCATCTACTTCCCCCCTCCCCTCAAAAAAAGGAAATCGTAAGTACCATTGTGGAAATGAGGTGATGATGGATCTGTCTTCTTCCTGCTGAGGTGGTGTCAGGCATGACAGTCAGAGTACCCCTCCAGTGACCTATCTAAAAGGCTCCCGAAGTGCATTGGTGGTTTCATTTGTGTAACAGCCAGGTATAGGTAGGAAAGGAAGTCCTCCGCTGGTGCCCAGAAGGAGATGTGAGGGCGAAGTGAAGCCAGGGGTTATTAGCATTACAGGTTAGACTGGGGAAACAGGAGACGCCACAACACAGGATATTTTTTTAAAGTCCAAATCAAAGTCTCTTGATGGGCTTACAGGAGCATCCATCTGTTGAACAGTTCCTCTTCATTTACCCCCCTACGGCCCCCAGGGCTGTCTCCAGGGTGATGGTCCCAGGATCTGCTGTCAGGCCCTTTGATAGCTGTTGGAGTGGCTAGAATCAGCATGAGTTCACTCTCAGATGGACTGAAGGTAGGGAGAGGGGGAACAACAAACGTACTAGCTCTCATTTACTCTAAAAAGGTTAAGACAACAGTGGGGTTCTCTCTCCCTCTTGTGGGCAGCTGCTGAAGCGAGCCGAGGTCTGAAGTCACATCTGGGCAGCATTTTTCTTATTGAGAAGGAAATTATACAGAAATAGTTGTCAAAACAACATCCCATATGGATTTAAGCCTAATGTTTGAGGAATGTGATCCCTTGCAGTGTGCAGGGAACACACCAACCATTTTAGTCTTTCGGTGTACTTCTCTGCTGGAGGCTTAGGACCACGCAGGTGGCCAAAATTAATCACCTTTAAAAAAAAAAAAACTAATGGTCAGTTAAGATCTGGTCCTCAGGACTAAGCACCTGGGCTTTAGGGGACCCTCTGGCTCCTCCAGCCCTTCTCTGACCAGCTGTTCCATCTATGTGACGATAAATTAAAGTCCCTGCTTGACCACAGCTTCCTTGGAGGCATGGAGGGAAGTTTTCTGTGTGTTGACCCTCCTCTTTGTAGATTGGACATGGTTAGAATTCACCAGGTAAGTCCTTCCTAACCCTCTTGAACAAGAGAACAGGTGACTGCCCACAGCATACAGGGCATTTTAGAGGTGCCCTGCAGTCCCCTGGGACCTAGTTGTCTTGGGAGGACAAGGGAAAAATACCCTCCCCTTTCAGTCTCTCCGACCACAGCAGTACAGGCCTCCGAGCGTCTTAGTCAGTGTTCTGTTGACACCATGCTCTGAGACACCGTGAACACGGCAACTTTTTGTTGCTGTTGTTGTCATTTGGCTCCCCCCCACCACCCGAGACAGGGTTTCTCCTGTAGCTTTGGAGCTTGTCTTGGAGCTTGCTCTGTAGACCAGGCTGGCCTTGAACTCACAGAGATCTGCTTGTCTCTGCCTCCCAAGTGCTAGGATTAAAGGTGTGCACCACCACTGCCCGACTGACTGCAGCAACTCTCATGAAAGAAACTATTTAACTGGAGCTGGCTTACAGTTTCAGAGGTTCAGTCCTTTATCATCATGGCGGGGAGCATGGCAGCATGCAGGCAGACGTGGTGCTGGAGAAGGAGCTGAGAGTTCTGCATCTGGATCTGCAGGCTGCAGGAAGAGAGAGAAAGACACCTCAGCGCCACCGCCAGTAACACTTCCTTCAGCAGGCCCACACCCAATTCCTCTCAAGTAGTGCCACTCCCTGATTACTAAGCATTCAAATATATGAGCCTAGTAGGGTCATTCTTATTCAGAGCACCACATATGCCTACTGAACACACAGAAGGTCAGCTATAGCAGCCTGGTACTTTCATATACTTAGATAAAGCTGCGGTAAAAACAAAGACTTCTAAATAAACATTGATTAGATACATATTTAAGCAGAGTTTTGACAGCAATGTGTTGAACTTTGACCTTGGACATTTTAATATCTTAAAGTCTCATCTTTTATATACCTTTATGTCATTTGCTTAGACCTTTGTAGCTCGCTTCAAATTTTCCAACTTTTTTCCATTCTGAAAGAAAAAAAAGTTCAGGCATCATACTCTTTGTCAGTAAGCCACACGGCCAGCTGTGATGATGCTTCAAAAGCAGGTACAGCTGGCCTTATGAAGACCTCACTGCCCAAGACAGCAATGTAGCAATATGGTTGCTGTGTGTTTGTGGTGAGCACAGACCCATGTTAAATAAGCCCACCTGCCCGCACCACAGCACAGATCCCTGTGGGGATACATGGATATCACAGATTAAATGTGAATAGTCACTTTTTTTTTTTAAAGAAAAAGAATATCTGATCTCGAATAGCATGAATACAAGGAGGAGACAGTACATGTGGCCTATATATGTAGGCTCCCCAAAAGAGCAAAGCAAAGACACAGGAAGAAATTCCATGGTCTTAACCTATATTCATTACCTTTCTGTTGCTGCGATTAATAACACCATGACTGAAAGCAATTTATAGAAAGGAGTGTTTATTTGGGCTCCGCCTCCAGGTGGGCTCCATCATGGCAGCATGCATGGTAGCAGGAAGCTGAGAGAGATCACATACTCAACCAGAGAGAGTGAACTCAAAGGAGAGTGGGGCTTTCTCTCTCCTCCATCCAATCTGCTAGTCTCCCTAAACAGCACCAGCACCTGGGACCAGGTGTTCAGATACCCCATGTCTTATTCAAACCACCATTCAACCCAAGTAAAGGGCGTCCATGTGTCTTACCACAGATCGTAACTGTGAACGCCTAGCAATGCCCTCTGGATGCCATCTGACTTCCCTGTGGTCCCTGGATACAAACTGTTGTTTAGAAGGGAACCCCTGGAAGGAGAGCTCTGAATGGAAGGTGTGCCCTGTGCCTATAGGTGGCGCTGTTGCTCTCGGAAGCACGTGGAGAAACTCGGACAAAGAAAATGACCACGGTGCTGTCTTTTGCCCCACCCAAACATGGCATGGGCTGAGGTTTGATTGATCTGTGATCCTCTGTGTTGTTTGGAATTTAAGATCCAGCTTGTTAAAAACAGCTAATCCTGATTTAATACGTGAGTGGCCTTGTGGTGGTCTCTTTCACGGTGTTCAGTATTCCTCTTAGTCAGGTTAAGGTATGGTGAACAGGGTTGGGGAGTCTCTAGGTCCTCCACAGGAGTTCACTCCTGTCTTGGGAAATCTGTTTTCCTAGAGCTCTTTTTACCTAAATTATCTCCCATCCTGGTTCCATGAGAGTTAACCTCTCAGAGCCTCAACCTAACAGAAGTTTCTTGCACCCCAGTTTGCAGTGCTTCCTTAGTCTCTGACTGCTTCCCTCACAAAGGGGTATCCTGTGTTAGGTGTCCTTAGCTTAGCAACAGACTTAGCAGAGGTCACCAAGGACACATGGATCCTTGAAGCTGTGGATCAGGGTCCCATCTTCACTTCACGTTGGGAACACATCTCTGCCACTCTCCTAGCCAAATTCCAGGATGCCCTGCCCACCAAGGAGTGTTTTACTGTTCTTGATGTTTGTTAGCTCTGTCTGGTGCACACGGGTTACTTGACCACTGAGACATTTCCCTGGGCCCTCCCTGCATTGCTGAGAAACTTTCTATTCTGGGATCAGTACTGACCCAAAAGGTCACCTAAGACACCGGAAGCGCATTTCTCCCAAGGGAGGGCATCTGAGCACTCAACCAAATGGATCTGAAAGCCAAAAGGAGACCTTGTTGGGAAAGAATAAGCTTGGTGTTGCGTGGAGGAGCACACAAATCGAAAGTAATGCAGCAAAGTAATTAACTAAAATTTATTTTAAATTTATGCACATGAATGTTTTGTTTGCATTTATCATCTGTGCCATTCATGCATCCAGTGCCTTGGAGGTCAGAAGAGGGTGTTGGCGCTTCTGGAGCTGGAGTTACGGCAATTCTTCGCTGCCGTGTGGGTGCTGGGAATTGAACATAGAGTGCTGTGCGGAGCAAGTGCTCTTGACTGCTGAGCCTCCTCTCCCGCCCACGGTTTCTTTTTGCAAAAAGGGTGCACTAGAACCCAGACTACCTCTGTGGCCAAGATGTCTCCTGGCTTTTATCCCAAATTCAGATGGTGACTGTCTCATCCCATTGGTGGAAATTTGAGTTCACAACCTGATCTGATCGGCTGATGGGTGTGAAGGAGATTCAGGGCACACACACTCTTGCTGGGCTGACTACTTTTGATAGAAAAGTAGACCGTTTCTCACAGTAGCAATTATGTAAAATCCATCTTTAACTGCACACAGATTGATTTATTTCATTTGCGTGGGTGTTTTGTCTGCATGTATGTCTATATACCACATGAGCGCCTGGTGCCTAGGAAGGTCAAGAAGATCAGCGGATTTTCTGGAACTTGAGTTATGAATGTGAGGTGCCATGAAGATTCTGGGATTCAAACCTGGATCCTCTGGAAGAGCAGCCAGTACTCTTAAACACTGAGCTATCTGTCCAACCCTAAATTCATATTTTTTGTTGTTTTTTTTTTTGTTTTGTTTTGTCTTGATTTGGTTTGGTTTGGTTTTTTGAGACAGGATTTCTTTATGTAGCCATAGCAGTCCTGGAACTCACTCTTTAGATCAGGCTGACCTCAGACTCACAGAAGTCCACCTGCCTCTGCCTCCCAACTGCTGGGATTAAAGGTATGCGCCACTACTACAGCCCTGCAAATACATCTTTTAAAGTAGCACTAGGTTCTCAATTCTATATAGTATTCAAATAAAAGGCCCTACCCCTGTCTTTGCCTCAAAAAAATAAGAAAATAAAACACCCCAGCTTTCATAATGCAGTCTTTATTTTTATGATATTCTTGGGATCAAATTGGCACATCACGTTGTAGCTTACCTTGTAGTCTTACTTTTTGGCTTAACAATAACATTTTCCTATTAGTGGTAGTTTTGTTAATTATTGACAATGGTTATAGAAGTTGTGAATTATGTTATATATATTATACTCACAACATATATATCATAATGTATGTAAGTAAGCTCAGAGAAATCCATCCTCCTCTACAACAGAAATGACAGCGCCCCTAGAGGCTCTCTCTTGCCATGTTTTCTCCTGGGTGTTATGACAGTTTGTAGATAAGGTTTGAAACCACTACACTTTCTCTCTCTGGCCATTCCAGCCTTGGCTTTAAACCTCGCTACTCGTTACAGTTTGGACACCAAATGCCTCCACTGGCACTTGTGGTGAATACTTGCTTGGTCTTGGGTCAGGGTTCTGAAAACTTGAGGAGTCAGAGTCTAGCCAGAGACACCAGGTCACTGGGGTGAGTCTGTGGACTATATCTTGTCTTGGGCCCTCTGGTGATGGAGGAGGGTTAACTGTCTATGTGTTACTTTCATTGGTTAATAAAGAAACTGCCTTGGCTTTTGATAGGACAGCAGCTTAGATGGTTGTAGTTACCATCTACATTATTAGGGCCCAGGAAGCCGTGTTTTAAAATGGCGCAGCTTTTTTTCTGCCGCTATGGCTGAAACAGGAAATCTCTCTATGGTACGTCCTAGCAAACAGCAAAAAACTGGGTTAAATTCTATATTTGTGTCTAGAATTCCTTTTAAAGCCCTCTTAGGTTTTACGTGGAGTGAGTTGCCACGTTAGAGCGCCACTAGCTTACCCCTGAAATAATTACACGGAAACTGTATTCTTTTAATCACTGCTTGGCCCATTATCTGTAGCCTCTTATTAGCTAACTCTTACATATTGATCTAACCCATTTCTAATAATCTGTGCAGCACCACGAGGTGGTGGCTTACCAGGAGGATTCTAACCTGCAGCTGTGTCGGAGAGGAGAGTCATGGCGACTGCCTCATTGCCTTCTTCCTCCCATCATTCTGCTCTGTCTACTCCACCTATCTAAGCTGCTGTCCTATCAAAAGCCAAGGCAGTTTCTTTATTAACCAATGAAAGTAACACATAGACAGTTAATCTTCCTCCATCACTCTGGGGTGAGTCCGTGGACTATATCTTGTCTTGGGCCCTCTAGGTGAGTCCGTGGACTATATCTTGTCTTGGGCCCTCTGGGGTGAGTCCGTGGACTATATCTTGTCTTGGGTCCTCTTTCATGCTTTCTCTGCTCCCCATCTTATTCTCCCTGCTTCCTGTCCACTATATGGTAGGACCTTGCTCTGCCATACCATGCCAACTCTGAGCTGTTCTGCCTAAGTTCATGGGGCTGAGCCACAGGGCAAACTCTCTGAAACCATGAGCCCAAATAAGTTTTTCTTTTACAACAGCAAACACAAAGTAATGGACTGTGCTACCTGTCACAACTTTTCAGAACTTTCCAAGAAAGTAATTGCAAGACCTTGGGTGGTAAGTCCAGAATGTGTTTGGACAGTTTCACTCTTCCCAGGAAGTTCCAGAGAGACATGGCTCCCCTATCTCACATTCCTTGGAGCTGGGGAGGATGTCCCAGTGGGTTTGGCATCCTAGATACCTCCTAGTCACCCTGACTGGGTTTACATGGACAGAGTCGCCAAGAAACAAGGCTCTTTTGTGAAGTAAAAGATATAGAGAATGGGAGGGACTTGGTGTGGGGCTGGGTCAGAGGGTG